TATGCCTGCGTTTCGGATATGTCGATGAGACCCAAATCACGTACACTGGCTTTACAGTGTGCCTCCAATAGGGATCTGGGGGCAATTGGTGATCATAACTCTAATGTGATGAAAGAAATCGAAGAAGAGAACCCCCGAAAAGAAGAGCACAATAAACCTCAATTAAATCCGACCCTGTTGGAAAATCATTTCTATTCCGCTTCGAACGAAGTGATTGTGAATTATTGCCATTGTTTTAGGTGTGTGAGGTGTTTAAATTCCCTTCCGAAATATCCAATATGTTGTGGTGGATTTACGAATCTCCCCAGCTGTTGGAGGACGACATCGTGTGATCATGGTTTACCAATTAGGATCTGCTGTGGAGATTTTCTAACGCCAAAGAGAAAATCAAGATCGGCAAAATTGTTGCAGGAGATTAAGAGACAACAATGAGAGAGATTTTGAACAAATGAGCGGGTCTCTTTCGCCTAGGGAAAATGTAGCCCATCAAAATTTATGTAGGGCTCTGAACAAAAATGCGGGGCGATTTTTTGGTCGTCAAAATACTGATCTGAATACGGATTATTTCTATACGAAAGCCGGGCATGGAAGTGATAGGAATTCCTCACCTCATACTCTCTACCATGTAAAGAGAACAATGAAAGTTTGAAGAGAAAATGTGTCAAAGAGAATAAAGGGAGAGATTTACTGATCGCCAAAATTCGGACCTGAATACGGATAATTTTTGTTCCAGAGGAGGAGGTCATGGAAGTGAGAAAAATTTTTCGCCTCATACTCTCCGACCTTGCAACGAGAGAATCCATTCCAAAGCAGAACATAGAAGTGAGAGGAAGAACACTTCGACCGATACTCTCACCACGTAACGAGAGAATTTCGAATGATGAAATTGTCATGAGAGAAAATTCCCCGGGGAGAACAAATTATGGCAAAAAATCCAAGCAATTTATGAAGGAGGGCGAGCTTTCGAGCTCGACCCATAACGGCAAAGATGGAACTAATTCGAATGGACTCATATCTGCGTCAAAAAAGTCAGAACCTCTTAATGATGCCAAAATCGAGGAAAAGGATCTTGAGAGGTGTGGAAATTTAAAAGAAAATCGAATGGAAATTCAGGCAGATACCAAGGAGCAAAATACCCCGAAGGAGGCTATCGAAGGATATCACAACAATGATGGTAAGAATTTTAATCAATTATATTCCGAAAAAAATTCTGAAAAATTCCGCAGTACATGCAAAGCTGTCGGAAAAAATAATCCCCATTATGATGATAACGATGCCTCTGTGAGAGCGAAGTATTCGAAAGTTAAGTCAGGAAAAAATCAAAGGAATTCCACTCATTTCAATACAAATGAGAGTCATCATCAGGAGAGAAGAGCCTCATGTTGTTCGGAAAATAATAAAGAGAATATAAAAAATTCTAAAAGAGCAGGAACCCAAAATGAAGCTGATGATGAACCCGTGAGAAGAACCTGCGATCCACGAATTGCCAACAATGAAAGTGTAAAGAGAGTGACGATGGCTCGAGAGAAAAGCCCCGAGGAGAGAAATTTCCAGGGCTCTCAGCTGTGTGGAAGATCAACTGAGAGACATCAAATGAAATCGACTTTAAATGATAAGGGAGACTTGAAGAGAGAAACTTCGTCTTATCGAAGGAAAAGCCCTGGGAGATTAATACCCCACAATAAAGATGACGAACCTGTGAGAGGAAGCTGCGATCCACAAATTGACACCAATGAAAATGTAACGAGAGTGACGATGTCGTATCGAGAGAAAAGCCCTGAGGAGAGTCATGTTCATGGCTCTCAGCAATGTGGAAGATCAAATAAGAGGCATTCTAAGGAAGCAAATTCCAAGAAATTCGAAACAAATAAAATTCAAGAATTCATCTACCCATTGGATAATAAAAAGGCCACGAAGTTAATCCGCCTAATGGATAGATATACAAATCGGAAAATTAAAAGCGAAGAGCTGGATCCAAATCCAAAGGAAAGAAAATATCATTTGAAAGAAAGTAAAATTAGTGCTGGAAATTATCTCGATCGTCAATTTGCTGCAAGGAGGAGGAGTAGGAGTAGAAGTGGTTGTAATAAATCCACCGCCACCGAAGTTGATACTCAGCCTCAGGAATATTCTCTGGATACATTGAAGATAATGAAAACTATGAAAGTCAGGGCATATGAGGTGAAAAAATTTGATGAAATATCCATGGAGGAAAATATTGAGGCTAAAGAATTGGAGATAACCAAAGAGGGACCTCTGGAAGGGAGGAAGGATGAAGAAATCGGAAATATTTCAAAATGTGAAGAATTGAAATCGGAAAATGCCAAAGAAAAATATGAGGAAAATAAATCGGAAAATTTCAATGGAAAACTTGAAGAAAAGAAAGAGAAGAGAGGTGGACAAGATTATCCGCAGAAATGCTCACTTTCAAGGGAGGAAAATGCCCGCAGAGACTCACCTCGCAGAGTCGCCCACGGCAACGAAATTGAAAAGGGAAATATTGAAGAAATAGCGACCAGTAGAGGAGAAGTAAATCGATCTTCTAGGGTGAATGAAATCACTGAAAGATATTCGTATTATGGACCGGATACTTCTTCAAAAAATTATGTTAAAAATTCCAAGCAATTTATGAAAGAAGATGAGCTTCCGAGCCCTGTCGATAATAAATATAAAGGAAATTGTGCACCAATTTCTTCTCCAAAAAAATCGGAACCCCCTGTGGATACCAAAAACGAAGAGAGGCATTTTGAGAAGTCAGGGAATTCAAACAGAAATCGAATGGAAATTCATGCAGACACCCCAGAGCAAAATATCTCTAAGGAAGCTACCGAAGGACATCCCGACAAGGAGGAAATTATTTCAAAGGAAGCTGCCGAAGGACAGCACAACAATGATGGTAAGAATTTTGATCAATTAACAGGACAATTGAAGTCATCGATCTGCCATTTTTTAAAATGTTTTTTTTATTAATTTTTTGTATATCCTGCACCATGTGCAATGGATGTTTCCGCATAGTTACTTCTGAGGATATACGAATTTTTGAGTCCATTTAAACATATCTATCTATCCATCTATCCGATCACCTGTCCATGGATTTTTTTTGCAAACCTAAATGCAGGTCGCATTTATTATCCGAATAAGGTGGAATTTGGTGTGGCTCATTTATATGGCCTAAGGACGTTGTCTATTCAAAATGGTGTAAAACGGTTCAGATTTTAACATAGCTACCACACATAACTCCGACGGATTTCATATAAATGGTGGTGAAAAGACACTAGGTTCGTCCGATCGACCTGAAATTTTCCACGAGCTACCCAAATAGGTATAGAATGAAGTATACCAAGTTTGATATAAATCGGTTCAGATTTCGATATAGCTCCCATATAAAATTCCGTCGGATTTCAAGAAAATGGTTCACCAAAGTCACAATGTTTATGCGATTGCCACGAAATTTGGAATAGTCTAACAAATTGAGCCTAGAATGATGTGTGCTAAGTTTGATTGAAATCGGTTCAGATTTCGATATAGTTCCCATTTAAATTTTCGTCGGATTTCAGTTGAATGGTGCACCAAAGTCACAATATTGGTGCGATTGCCACGAAATTTTGTGTAGGCTACCTAATTGAGCCTAGAACGATGTGTGTCAAGCTTGCTTAAAATCGGTTTCGATTTCGTTATATTCCGTCCGACTTCAAGAAAATGGCCCACCAAAGTTCTTGAGGCTGCCTAAATGGCACGAAATTCAGTTTGGAATAACATGTGTCAAGTTTGATTGAAATCGGTTCAGATTTCGATGTATCTTCCATACATAACATCGACGGATTTCATGAAAATGGTACACCAAAGATCAAACGTTTGTCCGATTGCCACGAAATTTGGCATAGGCTACTCAATTGAGCCTAGAATGACATGTGTCAAATTTGATTGAAATCGGTTCAGATTTCGATATAGCTTCGTCGGATGCGCCAAAGTTGCTGAGGCTGCCTAAATGGCACGAAATTTTGCATTGGCTTGCGAATTCCGTTTAGAATAACCAGCGTCAAGTTTTATTAAAATCGGTTCCGATTTCGATATAGCTCCCATATAAAATTCCGTCCGATTTCAAGAAAATGCCGCACCAGTCACAAAGTTGGTGCGATTGCCACGAAATTTCGAATAGGCTACTAAATTGGGTCTAGAATGATGTGTTTACAATTTGCATTAAATCAGTTCAGATTTCGATGTGGTCCCATATCAAATTTCGTCGGATTTTAGGTAAAAAGTGCCCAAAAGGCGTTCGGTTTGTCCGACTGACACGAAATTTTGCATATGCTACTAAATTGAGTATAGAATTATGTGTTTTAAGTTTGCTTTAAATCGGTTCAGATTTCAATATAGCTCCCATATAAAATTCCGTCGGATTTCAAATAAAAGTTGCACCATAATCACAATGTTGGTGCGATTGCCACGAAATTTAGCATAGGCTACTAAATTAAGTCTAGAATGATGTGTGCCAAATAAAATTGAAATCGGTTCCGATTTCGATATAGCTTCCATATAAAATTCTGTCGGATTTTTGGAAAAAGCTGCACCAAAGTCACAATATTGGTGCGATTGCCATGCAATTTTGTATAGACTAGTGAATTCGGTCTAGAATAACATGCGCCAAGTTCGATTTAAATCGCTTCAGATTTCGATATAGCTCCTATATAAAATTCTATCGGATTTCAGGTAAAAAGTGCACCAAAGTCTCAATGTTGTTTCGATTGCAACAAAATTTTTCATAGGCTACTGAATTGAGTCTAGAATGCTGTATATCAAGTTTGGTTTTAATCGGTCTACGTTTAGGTATAGCTCCCATATATCCGATCTCCTCGATTTTCGATATTTTAAGGATTTTAGTCAAATTTGTCCAATCGAATTGGTTATAATTTGATATTTCGGATTCGCATTAGGTAGCGAACCTCTCTACCAAAAATCATCCATATTGGTTCACCTTTAGGTATAGCCACCATATAAATGTACCCTCCGATTTTCGGTATTTTAACAATTTTTGACACATTTTCCAATCGAATTAGCTGTAATTTGATTTTTTCAATTCTCATGAGGTAGCGAACCACTCTACCAAAAATCATCCATATTGAATCATCTTTAGGTATAGCCACCATATAAGGATAACTTCCGATTTTCGATATTTTAAGGATTTTTAACACATTTTCCAATCGAATTGCCTGTAATTTGATATTATGGGTTCTCATTGGGTAATAAATCTCCCTACCAAAAATTATCAATATCGATACACTTTTAAATATATAATGATAACCTCCGATTTTCGATATTTGGAGGATTTTAAACACATTTTTCAACTGAATTGACTGTAATTTGGTACTATGGGTTCTCATTGGGTAGCAAACCTCCATACCAAATGAAAATAAAATTTTGAATCATCTTTAGATATAGCCCCCATATAAGGATAACCTCCGATTTTCGATATTTTGAGGATTTTGAACAAGTTTTCCAATCGAATTGCTTGTAATTTGGTATTATGGGTTCTCATTGGGTAAAAAACCTCTATACCAAAAATAATCTATATTGGTTTATATTAAGCTGTACCCTCCGATTTTCGATATTTTGAGGATTTTTAGGATTTCCAATTGAATTGGTCGTAAATTGATATTTTGGATTCTCGTTGGGTAACAAATCTCTCTACCAAAAATAATTAATATCGATCCACTACCAAAAATAATTAATATCGATCCACTATTAGGCATAGCCCCCATATAAGAGTACCCCTCGATTTTTGGAATTTAGGCGTATTTTCTAGTCGAATTGGCTGTAATTGGATATTTTGGTTTCTCATTGGGTAGAAAATCTCTCTGTCAAAAATTATCAATATCAGTTCACTTTCAGGCATAGCACCCATATAATGGTACACTCCGATTTTCGATTTTTAAGGAGTTTGGTTATATTTTTCAACCGAATTGCCTGTAATTTCATATTTAGGATTCTCATTGAGTTGCAAACCTCTGTACCAAAAATCACCAAAATCGGCCCACTTTTAGGCAAAAGGTCCACCTTCGGATTATCGATTTTTAAGGATTTTTTTTTACATCTTACATGCGAATTGTCTGTTTTTTCATATATTGAATTCTTAAGGGGTTAATAAATCCATCTACGAAAAATTATTAAAATCCGACCACCTTTAGGTATTGGGCCCCAATAACCATACCTTCCGATTTTGAATATTTTCAGATTTTTGAAACATTATTTGCCAATAATAAAGTTAGTAGTCACTATGGAGGTCCTTAACAGTTCAACCCGACCTGAATTTATCTACTTTTTTTATTTATTTGCAGTTAACAAAGACCAGGGAAACCTCTATCAAAGAACGGACTCCACGGAATATTCGAAGTCCGAAAAAATTATTTCAAATACTTCTGAAATAACTACATTTCAAAAGATGAAGCAGGATAATTATCAGAAATATCTTGAAATGTATGGAAATCCTGAGATCTCTCCGAGAAGAGAACTGAGAAATATCAGAAGTCCGGACGATGTTGAGAAGAGAACGAAAATTCCGCTTCCAATTACCTCCCCCAGAGATCATTTGAAAATCGATAGAGAAAAGGGAAAAGAAAACACTTTAACGGGAGGTAAAAGAAATGCAGCTCTAAGTTCCAGAAGTGGGGATAGATCGAAATTCAAAGTTGCCATAAGTGGAACCGGAAAAATAATTTCCACCATCAATTATCAGGGTAAGGAGGATGGTACAATTCCTCAGGAGGAATTGAATTCTCTAAGAGCTAATTTGAAGGCGATTCAAATGAAGCCAAAAGTCAACTCATTTGGCAGAGAGAGCCAGTCATTAGACTCTAGAGAGAAGAGAGACCTTGGGAGAGCAAATAATTCCATTATCAAAGAGCGAATAAAACTCCATTGTGAAATAAGTACCACCAGACGAAATACTTCGAACAATTCTGTAGCTTTCAGGGATGCGTATTTAATAAATGCTAAAGAGAAACTGAGAGGCGAGGCCTCTCTTGTGGCTGGTGAGAGAAAAACATGCAAAGTAAGGAGCTCTACAAAAGAGAGTGGCAATATCAATAGCCTTAAAGAGAAACAAGCAATACAAGACCACGAGAGAGAAGGTATTTCAAGCATCACTATTGAAGAGAGAAATGTTGGTCAGAGTGAGAATAACTCTCCTAAAGCTACCTATGCTCTCAGCGATACTCGAACCCAAAATGAAGCTATATCGACAAATAATGAAGATAGTGTGAAGGAAAATCCGAGAGAAAGGCCTTCGAGAGGCCTGAGAGAGCAGAGTACAGCATTTGTGGAAGCCAAAAACTCTCCAAAAGAGAGTGAAATTTCCAGTAGCAACAGAGAGAATAAATCACTGCCAACCAATGAGAGAGAAAGTGTTTCAAGCAACAATGATGAGGAGAGAAAAAAATCTCAGAGCGAAAATAACTCTCCCGAAAATAGTCAGACCCTCAGCAATTCCCCAACTGAAAAAAATAAAATTTCATCTTTAAAAAATGAAAGAGAAGTGAGAGAGAATCATCATGGAAGAGAGAAAATTCCCATTTCTAATATTTATCCCCAAACTCTCGTCAAGGCAGAACAAAATTCTCCCCAATATGAAACTTCGTCATACAAAAGAAATATTGGAAATCCGAAAAATCTCTTCGAGAGAGGAGAAGAACCTAAAATTGTAAACGAAGTACCAAAATCGGGGTATAAATTTAAAGATCAGAATTCACCAACAAGTTTCAAGGAAATTTATAGCCTCAATTATGTGGATAACGATGATGATGAGGAGGAGCAGGATGATCAGGATTTGACATCACATTACAGCTCAGCTGCAGATTCTAATGAAAAGGAGGAAGGATTACAGCCAACAACAAAGGTAGGACCCCTAATAATAATTTTTAAACAATCCAGAACTTTGGCGGAGCCCCTAAAAATAATTTTTAAAAAAACACGCCCTTAATGGGACCCTTAAAATAGTTTTTAAAAAATCTTCAGCCCTGGTAGGACCCTTAAAAATATTTTTTAACAATTTGAACAATTTTTTATTAAAGGTGGAAGATATCAGAATCTCTCCCTTGGAGACATCCCTAAGCGAAGAAATCCGACATAGCCCAAAATTTTCTCTAAAATTATCGGATCCTTATGACATTTCCTATAACAACTTCCAAGCCACTGCAAATAATTCAGAGGTATTAAGAGAGTTACGAAATTTTATATCCACCCATCAAATCGATACCTCCGAAGGAGAAGAATTGACCGAATTGGCCATTGATTTGTTTCGGAAATTGAGTGAAAATCGTTCTCCAGAAATCAAACCAATAGAATCCCGCATGACTCCCAAGAGAGAACCTCATTATCCGCAAGAGAGTGAGAGCAGGCTACAAGAAGAGAGTAATGAATATACAAATCTCTCAAGTGACCTAAAACCCCCCTATGATGATACTGATGAAATTTACGGTTTGGTATATTCCGATGACAAAAATATGGAGGGTCACTCTGAACAGCCGGGAGGGGTGAAGAAAGGATCTTCGAAGAAAAACCCAGAGAGTGAAGAGAATAAACAAATCTCAACTGTTCAAAATGACATCAAATTTGATGATAGTGACATTCATAGAAATGATCACAGAGGTGATCAATATTCGACTGTGATTCCGCAGCAGAATCTGACAGAATGTTCCGCAAGTTCCTGGAATGATTCCAAGCAATTAAAGGGGATTTTGAAACCATTTCAAGAGAAATTTTCAAATCGTTCGGGTAAGTATACCAATTGAAAACTGAGTTGTCGAAAATAATTTCAATAGAAAATTGTGTTATCGATAATATTTTCAATAGAAAATTGTATTATCGATGAGATTTTCGACTGAAAATTGTGTTATCGATCACATTTTCAATAGTGTGTTATCGATAATATTTTCAATAGAGAATTTTGATATCGATGACATTTACGATAGAAAATTGTGTTATCGATGACATTTTACAATGAAAACTGTATTATCGATGTTATTTTTATGGAGAAATGTGTTATCGATGGCTATTAATATAGAAAATTGTGTTAACGATTTTATTTTCTATATAAAGTGGTGTTATCGATGGCTATTTATATAGAAAATGGTGTTATCGATGATATATTACAATGAAAACTGTGTTATCGATGTTATTTTCGATGGAAAATTGTGTTATCGATGTTATTTTTTATAGAAAATTCTGTTATTGATGGCTGTTAGTATAGAAAATTGTGTTATCGATTGTTTTCTATGGAAAAAAATTGTGTTATCGATTTTTTTTCTATGAAAAAAATTGTGTTATCGATTTTTTTTCTATGAACAAAATTGTGTTATCGATGTTATTTTCTATTGAAAATTGTGTTATCGATGGCTATTTATGTAGACATTTGTGTTATCGATGTTATTTCCTATAGAAAATTGTGTTATCGATTGTTATTTATGTAGAAAATTTTGTTATCGATGATACTTATTAAAGAAAATTGTGTTATCGATGACATTTTACAATTAAAATTGTGTTATCGATGTTTTTTTCTATAGAAAATAGAATTATCGATGTTATTTTCTATAGAAAATGGTGTTATCGATGACATTTTACCAAGAAAATGTTGTTATCGATATTATTTCCTATAGAAAATCGTGTTATGGTGGCTATTTATATAAAAAAAATTGTGTTATCGATTATACCTATTACAGAAAATTTTGTTATCGATATCGATTTTGTTTTCTATAGAAAATCGTGTTATTGGTGGCTATTTATGTAGAAAATTGTGTTATCGATTATACTTTTTGCAGAAAATTGTGTTATCGATGACATTTAGCAATGAAAATTTTGTTATCGATTTTATTTTCTATACAAAATTGAGTTATCGATGTTATTTTCTATAGAAAATTGTGTTATCGATAGTTTTTTATATAGAAAATTGTGTTATCGATGAAATTTTCGATAAAAAATTGTGTCATCGATGGTTATTTACGTAGAAAATTGTATTGTCGATAATACTAACTACAGAAAATTGTGTTAGCGATGATATTTTATAATAAAAATTGAGTTATCGATGCCAATAATTGTAAGAAATAATGTTATCGGTGACATTTTCGATAGAAAATATTATTATCGATGACAATTTGTATAAAAAATTATGTTATGGATAATTTTTCTATAGAAATTGTGATATCGATGACAATTACTTTTAAAAATAATATTATCGATGAAATTCGAAAAAATATAAAAATTGTGTTATCGATGACATTTTCCATATAAAATGTTTTAAAAATCAAATTTTTAATAGAAAATTTTGTTATCGATGCCAATTTCTATAAAATGTTGTGTTATCGATGATAGAAAATTTTGTTATCGATGCCAACTTCTATAAAAAGTTGATAGTTTTCATAGAAAAATGTGTTATCGATTATAGTTTCCATAGAAAATTGTGTTATCGATAATATTTTCAATATAAAATGGTGTTATCGATGACAATTTCTATAGAAAACCGTGTTATCGTTAATTTTTCTTTTAGGAAACAGTGTTATCGGACCAATTTTCCAAAAACATTTCAGTTATCAATCAAATGTATCATAGAAAATTACGTTATCGATAGCAATTTCTATAGAAAATTGTGTTATCGATTAGATTTTCTCTAGCAAATTTTGTTATCGATTGTATTTTCTATAGAAAATTGTATTATCGATGACAATTTCTATAGAAAAATTTGTTATCGATAATTTTTCTTGTAGAAAACATTTAATTTATCGATCAAATTTATCATAGAAAATTACGTTAACAATGATATTATTGACATTTATATATTAATTTTAGAAAATTTTTCTATTTCAGATAACAATAATTTATCGGATTTACAAGGAAGAAGCTACACGCAATTTCCCCGAAGAAAATCGGAAATACAACTTACAGCATTCAACAATTGTCCCTGTATGTTGGGTATATATTTGGAAATTATGAACATTTAATCGCGAATTATTTTGAAAAAATAATTTTCAATTTCTAGATTTTTATTAACATTATTTCTTTTTGCATTATGTTTTAACAATCATCTTAATTTTTTTTTTAAACAATTAATTAAAAAAAATTAGTAAAACAAAAAAATTGTTTTATTTCCTACAATGTCTGTACGGGAGGATAACGTGGACTTTGTTCGCGCGAACGAGCCTGACGAAAACGATCATCGGTTAGATTGTGACGCAGCTCTTGATTTTGTACTTGAAATTCACGGGCCAAGGTGGCATTTTGTTCACGTTTCTGACGCTCCAATTCCAGATCGTGCTGCGGAATAGAAGAAGATAAAAAATTATTAGAGTTTTGTATAGGGTATTGAAGGGGGTTTCTGTAATGATCCTAACCAATAGTTCATCATTTTGTTTCCTCAACTGGACTAATTCTTGACTTAATTTACTATCAACTTTGATTTGTTCCTCCAAATCACGTCGAGTTTTTGTTAGAAGTTCCTCTAAGGTTTCCGCCGACATTTGCTTACCCTTTTCCGTTTTGTCCAAATCGAAGCGTAAGCGTTCATTTTCCATTTCCAACTGGAAGGAAATTGGGAAAAATATGAAAACAATTTAATAAAAATTATGTTATCGAAAAATAATATTGTTATCGAAAATATTGAATACTGTTATCGGTTATGTTTTCACTAGGAAAATGTGTTATCGATCACATTTTTTATATAAATTAGTGTTATCGATGTCATTTTCAATTGGAAATTACGTTATCGATAACATTTTCATAGAAACATTGTGTCATCGATTACATTTTGCAAAGAAATGAGTGTTATCGATGAGATTTTTTGTAGTAAAGTGTATTATCGATTACATTTTCCATATATAATTGCGTCATCGATGCCATTTTCCAAGGAAAATTTTGTAAACGATCACATTTTTTTATAGAAAATTGTGTTATCGATAATATTTTCTTTAGAAAATTGTGTAATCGATCACATTTTTTAAAGGAAACTGTATTATCGATAATATTTTCTTTAGAAAATTGTGTTATCGATCACATTTTTATAGGAAACTGTATTATCGATAATATTTTCTTTAGAAAATTGTGTTATCGATAACATTTTGCATAGAAAATAGTGTTATCAATGACATTTTCTACAGAAAATAGTGTTATCGATGACATTTTCGATAGAAAATAGCGTTATCGATAACATTTTCCATAGAAAATTATGTTATCGATGACATTTTTGACAGGAAATGGTGTTATCGATGATAATTATTACAGAGAAATGGTAGGAAATGGTGTTATCGATGATACTTATTACATAGAAATGTGTTATCGATGACATTTTATAATAAAAATTGTGTTATCGGTGACAATTTATACAGAAAATTGTGTTATCGATTACATTGTATAAACAGAACTGAGTTATCGATAGCATTTTATAATGATAGCACAGTTATCGATGACATGGTCGATAGAAAAGTGTTTTATCGATAATATTTTATAATGAAATCTGATTTATCGATAAACAATTTCTGTGGAAAATATTGTTATCGATGACATTTTGCAAAGGGAATTATGTTATCGATGATATTTTCTAAATACAATTGTATTATCGATCAGATTTTCTAAAGGAAATCGTATTATCGATGACATTTTTTAAAGAAAATTGTGTTATCGATTACATTTTCGAAAGACATTTTTGAGTTATCGATTAAATTTTCTATAGGAAAGAAAAAAATGGTGTTATCGATTATATTTTCGATAGGAAATCGAGTTAACGATTAGAAAATTATATTGTGTATAGAAAATTGTATTATCGATAACATTTTGTACAAAAAATTGTGTTATCGATGACAATTTTTATAGAAAACTACGTTATCGATGACATTTTCTAATAAAAATTAAGTTATCGATTACATTTTCGATATGGAATCGAGTTATCGATTAGAAAATTATATGATATACAGAAAATAATATTATCGATAACTTTGTACATGTTATCGATAACTTTGTACATGTTATCGATAATATTTTCTACAAAAAATTGTGTTATCGATGACAATTTTTATAGCAAATTGAATTATCGATTGCTTTTACTATAGAAAATTGAGTTATCGATAACATTTTCTACAAAAAAATTATATTATCGATTGTAATTTTCATAGAAAATTGAGTAATCGATTACTTTTACTATAGAAAATCGAGTTATCGATAACATTTTTCATAGAAAACTTTGTTATCGATGACATTTTTACCGAAATTTGTGTTATCGATCCCTTTTTCATAAGAAAATTGCATTCTCAATTAATTTTTCTATAGAAAATTTCGTTATCGATTACTTTTTTTTTAAAAATTCACTTCTTTTTAAAAAAAATCTCCCCTCGACCTACCTTCCTCTTAACATCATTCAATTCATTTAGTTCGGCATTCAGTTTATCCTTTTCATTATCCAATTTATCGCATAACTCCTTGCGCGCCTCCAAATCCGTTTTCAAAATACGCTGTTCATCCTGACATTCGCCGAGCTGATGTTCGAGACAGGTATTTTTCGCGGTTAGGGTGGCGATGCGATCCTCCAGTTCGGTGATTAATTTGTTGCGGCAGTTCAATTCTTTTTTGAGCGTGGATATCTCAGCATCTAATTCGGCAACTTGACGTCTGAGAGGGAGGGAAAGAAAACCACAGCAGATGACGAAGGGAAGTATGTGGTGAGGTGAGATGAGGTGGGTTAAAATTATTTACATTAGAAAATTAAAAAAAACGTGGGGTTTTGAACTACTCTCTAAGTTTTACTCTTGTTCTACTAATAGTTTCTTAATTCTAAGGCAGCAACAACAATGACAACAATTACAGCTACCGGTACAGAAACGATAGAGGTTAGGAAATAGAAATTGAAAAAAAGAAGTAGATTTTGAAGATCCAACTTGAAAGAGGTAAATTCTTAAAGCCCACCTATATTCTGCCGTTTCATTTTCTAAACTTTGATTATTGCCCTCCAGCATAACGGCATCGTGTGATAGGCTGCGATAGTGTTCCAGCATTTCCTCACGTTCTTTTTCCTAAAGAAAAAAATTGAAAATGTTAAATTTTTATAAAAAATAAATTTCGAACCCCTTACCTTGTGCATCAATAGATCTTCGGCCTTCTTAACCTCCTCAACATATTTCCGTAGTTGTTGTTTGAGTCGCTCTATTTCCTTTTCGGAATCTTTGAGTTGTTTGCGCAGCGACGATACTTCAGCTTGACTTTCGGCCAAATCATTGCTTAGGCGGCTGGTGGGTAGGAGGAGATTAAACAAATTAATAATTATTTTTAAAGAGAGGGGAGAGGGGGTTGTTTTCAAAACTTACACATTTTCCTGTATGGCCTGATCCCGACTGGTTTTCAATGCTGTCAGCTGTTGTCGCAAACTTTTGCTTTCCGTCGAGGTTTCATGGAGTTCGGTACTTCGTTCACGTGATTGTGTGGAAAGTTTACTGGAAGAGAGAGGGGAGAAGGGGGTATTAATTGGAAATAATTTTGAAATATTTAAAAACAATATATTTTTAAGGCTCGAAACCAGGTGGGGATGAAAGCTAGGAATAAAGTTCAGAAAGCTTTGGCTGACATCTCCTAGGGCAAGGATAGGAAGAAACATTGGAAACGATTTATAAGGCTATATGTCGTTCCATCATGAATTATGCTGACCCAGTCTGGACTTCTTTCTTTACTGACACGTCAACAGATTGTCGATAGTGAACGCGATGAAATCCGTGCATCAACTGGCGAACTCCGAAGCCATAAATGGCAACAGATGCAATAATGTCCTACAACAACATTCTCCTGCAATTTCGGAGAGTGAGAGGCTTCTTCCTAGGCAAACCCGTTCAATTCTGGCACAACTAAGGTCCGGATACAGCAGCATTGTCAACGGAACCCTAAACAGTTGCCCCTCCTGCCAGCAAAGCCCTCACGACACACACACACACCATATATTGAATTGTCCGTCCGAGCCTCAGGGGGAGAGTCTCGGAGGAAATAACCAAGTGCCTATGATCCCTGGGCCGACGAGGCGAGAATGGCGCCCCTATATAACCATCTCAAAAGGTCTGGGTCACTACCTTTTTTTAAAGTGTCCCCCCCTAACGCTGCGGTGTCATGCGACCTCGTGCCTATCAGAGTTCTACAGTTTGCAGTCAGGGTCCCGACTGTATTAGAACGGAACCTTGTTGATACCTGGGCGCCTCAACAAGCTTATTCGGGCTTAGAGTCCTTGCCATGGTAAGAGGCTATGCCATGGTCGAGACCTCAATCCCTCACTTACAGCTCTTTTTATGGAGCCGAATTTTAATAACAACTACCCCCAAATCAAAAACAATTTAACGAAAGCCTGGAGAGACAGTCGGATCTTCTCCTCAACCTTTTAGATGAAACCGGCTCCTTCCGCCATAGTCAGGAGAGCATGCCGAATCAGCTCTGGGATGACTCGCCCTTGTAAGACGAGGTAGACATCATGGAAACTACGGTGAAAAAACCACAGTAGCGACCGTGTCATCTCCTCCGAAGCAAGGAGAGTCGTCCCAGTTGCTGAGTAGGGAAGTAAACCCAAGCGAGGTTGAAGATCTGCACACAATCTCCACGACCTGTAGTGATGTTGCGTGACTACTCAGGCAATTGGCTTGGTCGAAACGGATACTGGTATTGATGAAAACCGCATCGATAAGATGGATGATTGCTCAGTACCAGTATCTGCTAGGCAAGTCGTTGCCAAGGAGATCGCTCCCAGAAGAAGAACCGATACGTCGGACGGCACAGCGACTCCATCACGAAAAAAGAGTTCCTTTTTTATCAAGAGGAACTTCAAATTTATCCGGAAGTTCTCCGGGAACTATCCAGATGATATTGAGATTGAGACTTCTTGATTGATAGGATCCCCCGACCCAGTACTAAGACCACCACGGTAGTCCCTTCAACGAAGGAGAAACCTGTTTGGGGGGCTCTAGTACATCCAGGAAGCTGATGCTTGAAATTTCTAAGTCTTCTAAGCACCCCCAAGGGTAAACTGAGTACTGAGACGTCCACAAACACCAGCATCCACAACGACGGAAGGAAGCCCGTAAAAAGGCCTCCAAGAAGACCGATAGGACACAACCATCCTCTGTCAATCCACGATCTGTTGAATTGCAAAAGCCATACCCAAGGCGCCGAAGGTAGTGAGCGCGAAACAGGTCCCTGTCATTCTATCAATATTTTCAGGAAAGAACTTCATCAACAACAGCCAACCTGTTACAACAACAACAATAAGCACTCAACAAAATAATCTGAGGGAGAAAGGGAGAGAGAGAGAGAAAGGGAGTCAATTGTCAGTTGTCTCTGAAAGACTTAAGAAACAAACTTGGCACTAGTGTAGGCCTTAGGATAATCTGAGGGAGAGAGGGAGAGAGAGGGAGAGAGAGAGAGAGAGAGAGAGAAAGGGAGTCAATTGTCAGTTGTCTGTGAAAGACTTAAGAAACAAACTTGGCACTTGATTAGGCCTTAGGAAGTTTGTTGCTTAAGTCTTTTTATAAAAAGGGAGTAATTCACATGGGGATTGAAAAATAAACATTTTTAAGGGTCTACACAAGGTGAGGAGTTAAAAAAAAAAATTGTGGAACTTTTAAAAAAAATTCTTAAGGTTACACACAAGGTGAGGATTTTTTAAAAAATATTTTTAAGGGTCCACAGAAGTTGAAGATTTTTTAAAAATTATTTTTAAGGTTACACACAAGGGAACGATTTTTTTAAGAAATATTTTAAGGTTCCGCACAATGTGAAGATTTATTAAAAATTATTTTTCACACAAGGGAGGATGTTATAAAAAAATTAATCAACTCCAATCTCCCTCGTTTCTATTCTTCAAACCATGAGATTTGTGTCAGGCCAACATCGATTTCAATTTCAATCGAATAATGTAATTTTGTTGTTGTTGTTGTTCCCAAAGACATTTAATCCCTTTTAATAACCAAAAAACAAAAATGTTGCAATAACCACCAACAACAACAACAGCATATCACAATTGTTGAAGCAATATTTTGTGGGTTGGGTCGTCAACCATACAGCAGCCAACCATCCACCGAGTCAACCACCAGATGATGTTTAACATCTTTCTGGCTTAGAAACTGACAAATCAACAACAAAGTGATGGCAAATAAATTAAAAAAATTACAACAACAAAGACATCACATCACGATAATTAACAACAACAACAAAAAATAATAAAACATGAATATGACATTTTCATTAGGCCATCGGATGGCGATGATTATTCGATGAAGGCTTTTATTGGAAAAAAATAATTTTAAAAAAATTCTCAGCTTGCGTGGAACCCAAAAAAAAAAAAAATTTTTTAAATCCCACCTTATGGTAGAGCATTAAAAATAAATTTAAAAAAATCCCCACTTTGTGGTAGACCCTTAAAAATAGTTAAAAAAAAAATCCCAACATTGTGTGGAACATCAGAAATAATTTTTCAAAAATCATCATCATTGTGGGAACCGTAAAAATTATTTTTAAAAAAATTCCCACCTTCTGGCAGAAAAATATTTTAAATAAATCCACGCTTATGGTAGACCTTTAAAAATTAATTTTTAAACCAGTGAGCGGAGCAGTATAGTTTGACGGGGCCGACCATACGATACCCTACACAACTACCACGAACCTTAATTTCCTATGGATTTTTATTTCGAACCTGGGCAATATTTCGTGATAGTTGCACTCTCTTGCCCGAGTAGAGGTCAGAAGCACCACTTCCATACACTGACATATTTTCCGAATATTACTAATAATCAGTACAGTCCTTCTAATTACTTGTCCAGATTCCCTTTAGAGTGGGTTGTGTTGTGATGTTCGGTTTATAATTGTGGCCTATAGATCGACTCGAAAAAAATCAAAAAAAAAAAAAAAAATAATAAGTTTTCGGTCCACTTCATCTCAAAATTATTATCCGATCATCACCGAAAATTATAGGCGTTGTCCTTGACCATAACTTGTACTTCATGGAACATTTGGAAAGCTATCAGCGATATATTTTCGCCCTCCAGTGTGGTAATGGGTTACTAAATAATATCTGAACACGTGAGCACCTGTTAATATTCACGTGTAACACCCACATCCGAATACGTACGACAACATAATTGATATCAGTTTAAAGGTCAATCGCTCCTCTTGAATTTTGTAATTTTTCACACGAAAATCAGGGTCCATTTGACCCGCTAAATATTGACTGATCTTTATGAAAACAGGCATGCTTATTCTTTGGCCCGATCCCCTTCTCCATCTAAAATATCGCGATGTTTGGGCCATAATTGCGGCCTCTGGAGCGACCAGAAAAATGGACCGACGGACGGACACACATGTCTAGATCGACTCAGCTAGTCGCGATATGACGATCGGTATACTTAAAGGTGGGTCTAGGACCAATATTTCGCGGCGTTACAAACTTTTGGGGCTGCACAATGCTATAATACCCTGACAACATAGTTGTGTAGGGTATAAAAAACCCCACTCTTAGGTAGACTATTAAATGTTTTTAAAAAATCCTGCCGCCAATTCATTGAGCATTCATCATCGCAGAACAGGACCATGCGAGCAGTTATCCGGAGATCCAAGAATCTTAAAAGAGAGTTGCAGCCACCACTATCATTTACATCCTCCAGCGAGGTAGAGGCAATTATCACCAAATTCAAGCCATCCAAAACCCTTGGTCAAGACGGCATATCCATGTTCATATTAAAGAAGCTTGGAGTAATAGGGCTGGGCTATCTGTCCAAAGTTCTAGAGTTATCGATGTCACAATTGGTAATTCCTGACATTTGGAAAGTTGCCCGCATTATTCCAATCCTAAAATCTGATAAATCCGTCACCTTGTGTTGAACGTTAAAAATAATTTTTACCTTAAAAATAATTTCTAAAAAAAACTCATCTTGTGTAGAACTTTAAAAATCATTTTTAAGAAATCCTCAAAAATAATTAAAAATAAAAATCCTAATCTTGTGTAGACCTAAAAAAAATATTTATTTTTAAGTCCCCACGTGAAGTACTCCCTTTTTCAAAAAAGACTTAAGCAACAAACATCCAATGGCCTACTCAGGTGGCAAGTTTGTTTCTTAAGTCTTTCATAGACTATTGACTATTCACTCCATCTCTCTCTCCCTCTCTCCCTTAGATTATTTGCTTTGAGTGTTTGTTGTTATGGCATATTATCATGCACATGAATCTCTCTCACGTGTTTTCTCTCTCTCTCTGTCTCTCCACATCTCATTACATGTGTGTGTCCATTTAAAGACAAAAGACTTAAGAAACAAACATTCCTATTTGCTGTTTGTGTATCTCTTTTTGGCAGTGATGGGAATTTAATTTCTCTTTGGGTGGTTTTTTTTTTGCGTTTAAACCGCTCTTTAGCCCTCGTGCTACCTATCAAGAGGTTCAACATTACTTTCATGTGGGTAATAAATTATAA